ATTATTTTATCTCTTGCTGCTAACCTGGATTGGCCCCTACATCAGTTAGATGTTAATAATTCCTTTCTTAATGGTGATCTAGAAGAAGAAGTGTATATGGACATTCCTCCTTGTTTTGAAAACAAATTTGGATCAAATGTATGTAAACTAACTAATTCTTTGTATGGATTAAAGCAGTCTCCTAGAGCTTGGTTTGAAAAATTCACTCAGTCCATGAAGAATCAAGGGTACCCCTAAGGACAGGCTGACCATACTCTGTTCACAAAATTCTCCAATGATGGGAAAGTTGTTGTCCTGGTTGTTTATGTTGATGATATTGTCCTTAATGGAGATGATACAGTGGAAATGGAAAGGGTAAAAGAGAAACTGGCAGTAGACTTTGAAATCAAGGACTTGGGATTCATGAGATATTTTCTAGGCATGGAGTTTGCTCGGTCAAAGAATAATATTGTGGTTTTACAACAGAAATACATCCTATACTTATTGAAAAAAACAAGAATGAGTGGATGTCATCTTGAAGATACCCATATAGATCCCAATGCTAAACTTTGGGGAGAAGGTAATGTTTCTGTTGATACTGGAAGATATCATAGATTGGTTAGGAATGTGATTTATTTATCACGCACACGACCTGATATTACTTTCTCAGTCAGTGTAGTGAGTCATTTTATGCATTCTCATTTCAAGGAACATCTTGAGGCAATTTATAGGATACTGGGATATCTGAAGGGAAATCCTGGAAAAAGATTATTTTTTAAGAAGATCAGTGAAAGGAATGTGTCTATCTTCACCGATGCTGATTAGGCAGGTTCAGTCACAGATAGAAGATCAACCTCTGGATATTGTACCAATGTTTGGGGGTAATCTTGTGACATGGAGGAGCAAGAAACAAGGAGTTGTAGCAAGGATTAATGCTTAAGCCGAGTTTAGAGTTATGTCTCAAGGTATTTGTGAAGGATTATGGATCCTTAGAGTCCTATAAGAACTTAAGAGGAAAATTGAGCTTCCATTGAAATTGTACTCTGATAGTAAAGCTGCTATTAACATAGCTCATAATCTAGTTCAACATGACAGAATCAATCATGTTGAGATTGATCGACACTTCATAAAGGAGAATTTAGATGCTGGAACCATATGTCTACCTTTCGTGACTTCAAGTCAGCAAACTATTCATATCCTGACCAAAAGTTTGGCAAGACCTACCTTTGAGCATTTGATAGACAAGTTGGGCATGATAGATATGTATGCACCAACTTAAGGGGGGTTTGGAAAATATTTTATTTCCCTATTTAATTGTTTCCATTTATTGTCATTTATTTTCTTTTATTCTCCATTAAGGAGAGAATTAAGTGTATTTATTGTGTTCTCATTATATAAATCAGCCTTTGGCTGAGGAATAAAATTACAACAACTTTTACCTATTTCTTCGAATAACATCTATTCGATTTATGTTGGGATTAACAACTAGCTTGAATCTAGATGTTAAACAACTTAATGTGAAGAGTGATTTCCTTAATGATGATTTGGAGGAAGAGATCTATATGGAGAAACCCGAGGGCTTCGAAGTCAAAGGTAAATAAGAGCTTGTTTGTAGATTGAAGAAAAGTTTGTATGACCTTAAGTAAGCTCCGCGACAATGGTATAAAGTGTTTGATTCTTTCATGGAAAGAAATGGTTATGGTAAAACCATTGCTAATCATTGTGTGTTTGTGAAGAAATTATGTAAGGGTGATTATATTATTATCTTGCTATATGTTGATGGCATGTTGGTTGTGGGTCATGACACTAAAAAAATTTAAAACATAAAGAAAGAGTCAAGCAAGTCCCTTGCAATGAAGAACTTGGGTTCTGCAAAAAAAAAAATCCTTGGCATGAGAATTTATCATGATACAAAGAAAGGTAAATTATGGTTGTCTCAACATAATTACATTGAGAGGGTGTTAGAGAGGTTTAACATGAGCAATTTAAAACCTGTGAGTACTCTACTTGAATAGTCATTTCAAATTAAATTCTAAGCAATGTCCTATAAGTGAAGAAGACAAATAATATATGAATATTGTTCCTTATGCATCTACAGTTGGTAGTTTGATGTATGTTATGGTATGCACGACATCAGATATTGCCCATGTTGTTAGTGTTGTTAGTCGGTTTCTCTCTAATCGTGGTAAAGATCATTGACGAGCACTGAAGTGGATTCTCATATATCTTAGAGGTACTTCTAGAGTGTGCTTATGCTTTGGGAGTGGTGATCATGTGTTAGATGGCTACATAAATACATATATGGTCGATGATATTGTTTACATAAAATCTACTTTTAGATACATGATGACTTTTGTAGGGGGAACAGTGTCTTGGCAATCACGGTTACAGAAGTGTATTGCTTTATCTACTACTGAGGCTGAGTATATTGAAGCAACTGAAGCGTCTAAAGAACTTTTATGGATGAAGAAGTTCCTACAAGAATTATGTGTTAAGCAAGAGAAGTTTGTGTTGTTCTGTGACAGCCAGAGCGTAATTCATCTTGGTAAGAGCCTGACATTTCATTCTTGATCAAAGCACATTGAGGTGCAGTATCACTGGATACAAGATGAATTAAAGCCAAAGTTATTTTCAATTGAAAATATTCATATTGACGAGAATGGTTCAGGTATGATGACAAAGGCTTTCCCTGTGGCAAAGATGATTAACTGCAGAAAGAAGGCGGGTATGGTAGAGGAGTTCCTTCCCACATAAGTCGTGAGGGGGGTATTTGCAGGGTGCGTTCACTCTTAAAGTAGGTTCCACCATTTATTTAGGAAAAAAAAGAATAAAAGAGAAAAAGAAAAAATAAGAAAAAAAAGTTTTTTATGTGAATTGTTTTATTTGGGCCAACCCAATAGGCATGCATTTAAAAAAGGTTTTTTAATCCCTAAAGCAACACAACAAATAAGTAACTTAAAAAGGATTTTAGATAACTAAAATAGAGAAGAGAAAAAGGCACACGTGATAGATGAGTGTTGCAAATATTTTAAGCTTGAGCTACAAATTTAGTATGTTGATTCTATCACTTAGTTAATTATATTTATATTTCTGTTGAGTAGTTTTACATTCTCTTAGAGTTATTTTGTATACCCACATTTTATGGAGAAATTATTTATAGTGTGTTTCTCACCTTTATTATTTATTTGTGAAGATTGTTGTTCCTAGTGTTACTAGAAATACTTTTGTATACTCATTATTTATATAGTGAAAGGTTTTACTGGACTATGTCCCGTGGTTTTAATCCTCTTACTTTGAGGAAAAATTTCCATGTTAAAAATATCGTGTTCTCTAGAATTGGTTATGTTGGTTCTCTATTTAAATTGCAGAGGTTTGGGAAAGTATTCCGCTTGAGAAAAGTATTTCGATTATTTGAGTATTTTTCAACAAAGTGATATCACATTAGATGGAAAAGTGAGTATGAGTCCAACATTAGATGTAAAAGTGTGAGTATGAGTCCAACGTTAAATGTAAAAGTGAATGTTGAACACACTATAAGTGAGAAGACCCATAAACTCAATACCTTAAAGTTCTTGTTAATATGCAATCTCTCTCTTATTTGTGTGGTTGCTCATAAGGCCTAATGTCATGATCTCCGCATCCCTTCATGACCCAACAATATGAAAAGTAAATAATTTGAATGATCAACGAGACGAGTTTAATGATGAGTTTGACATTAATGTCTCCATTATCTGTCTCATTCCATATTCAAATATCAAGAGAATCTAAATTCAAATCCAGACAATACCAATTTTTTTTCATCAAACTTGGTTTGAGTTCGGACAAACTTTCTATTATTTGTCTCATCCTCTTCTTAAAATATTAAAGACAAATTTAATTCAAGTTTGAATAAATACTTACAAATACGAATTATGTTATCATGTCTAAACATCAAACTATAAATAAAACCATATTTACATAATTTCAAAAATCAATTTTAGTGAAAGATTATTTTTAGATAAATAATTTGTAAATATTTAAAAAAAAATAGTGTCAATAAGTTTTTTAAAATATTAAGTAATAAATAAAAAGTTGTCGAATACAAAAATAAACTTAAAAACAAATTACATTGTTTTTTTTTTTTTTAAATTATAGCAGTACAGATTAGTAAATAACGAAACCATGCTTTTAAAATTAAAAATTGTTTATATCATGCAAGAGGAAATATAAAAATTATAACCATCACGGGTTTTCTTATTTATATAAATTATATATAACAAAGTATAAATGGTCTCTTTGCAATTCGAGGTGTTGTATTTTTATCTGAAAAAGACAAAAAAGGAACTAATAAAATACTTAAAATAAATAAATGGAGGGAAAAGAGTCGCAAAGAGGGAAAGTGTAACTAAAGCTTGAAGACAGTTGGATATCGGGATTTGCCACGAGGACTAGAATCGTCATTACACAGAAAAAAAAGGAAGAATTAATATAAATAAAAAATAAAAATTTCTTATTCCCATAGAGCTAGCTATGTGTAGGTATGAAAAGAAAACAGAGGTAATAGATACAGAAAGAGAGGGAGATAGTTTGCGTTTGCATATAGAAGAAGCGATTGTGATTCAATACAAGTAGTGAAGGTAAAGAAAAGTGATAAATACATTTCATAATTTAATTAAATAAATAATCCTTTTGTTTGTTGTTAGTTATATTGCTTAGCGTTTTCTGTTCCGCTACTCTTCAATTCAATCAAAATCTCACTAATTTTTTTTGTTTCTTTCTCTTTTCTTCATTTTCTCTCAACAACCACCACACTTATCTTTCTCTCTCTCTCTCTCTTGCTGTTAAATCCACCTTCCCCTTTCTCTCTCTTGTTATTCTCTCTGTTTAGTTTGCTGCTGCATCGTTTTCTTTCATTCTAATTCTAACTGTTCATTCAATCTAATTCCAATTCTAATTCTGTTTCTGTTTCTGTTTCTGTTTCTTAACCACTTTCTTCCTTCTCCGATACATTCATATTCCGTTTTCTTTCTTTTTTTTCTCTGATGGAACCATCGGAGAATTGTTCCGTTAAAGTCGCTCTTCACATTCGTCCACTCATTGCCGATGAACGTCAACAAGGTTGCACTCAATGTGTTTCTGTTAACCCTGGAAAGCCTCAGGTACTGTTCACTTCTTCATTTTTTTTTTCTGTTTTCAAGATTTTTTATTACTAAAATGTTGTTGTGGTTGTTATTATTATTTTTGTCGTTTAGCTAAGTGTTCATTAATTAAATGAGTGCCCAGTGTCTTTTAGGGTCGGGTTTGCTTAATTATCATTAACTAATTGTCGGTTTACAATAAAGTTCATTTCTGGATAATTTCTCGCTTCTTTATTACAACAATGCAAATCTACTATTTAAATTGCAATGTTAAGAATAATAATAATAGTAATAATCACGAATTTAATTTCATAGGTCGTGCTTAAAATTTGAGTAAAAAAGTCTTGCTTAAAGTGTGTTGCACTATTAATTAAACTTCTAAGTTTGTTGATTTTTCTGTTCAGCATAATCTTACTGATTTAGTTTTTTTTTTATTCATTTGATACCGTTGCTGATGGAAAGTATTAGTACTCCCTACTGCCAGTAGAAAAAACTACTTTTTCTCTGTGTAAAAATAATTGTTTGACTATAATGTTGATATAACATTTATTATTTTTTCTATTATATTCTTATTTTCTCTTCTTATGAACGTGATATATTAATTAGATAGATGATACAATTAGAAAAAAAAATTAATATTTTACTGTAAATTGAAATAAATTAAATTAATCATTTTATGACAAAAATGTTTTTGTAGGATGAGTTATTTTGGTATGGATAGAGTAAAAATTATTTATAACTTATTTTTCAATATGTTCTTTGTCATGAGTCGTGTCAGTGTGTTAGTGTTGATGACACGTTTTCCTCTTTCACGCTATTTAAACGTTTTTTTTCAAATACCCTCATCCTGATTTTTTTTTTAATTTTTATTCTTACAATAAATCCTGTTTTGTTTTGGTTAAATAAAAAATCACTGGTTGGTCCAATGGTGATTGACCCCTGGTTGGTCCAATGGTGACTTTTATAAGTTATAATTTGCATTATGGTATCAGTTCCTGAGAATCTGATCATAGCATTACATTGATCAGGTTCAAATAGGGTCTCATTCCTTTACATTTGATCATGTTTATGGAAATGGTGGATCTCCTTCATCTGAAATGTTTGCGGAATGCGTTGCTCCATTGGTTGATGGCTTATTTCAAGGATACAATGCTACTGTGCTTGCTTATGGTCAGGTTAGGTCCATAGTGCATAATCATGTACCCAAAGTTGAAAAAGATAATTCAATCCATATTTTCATTTGAAGCACATTCATATTTTATTTAAAGCTCATACTTGTTGCAGACAGGATCCGGGAAAACGTATACCATGGGAACTGCCTGCAATGACAATACTGGGATTGGATTGATTCCTCAGGTTATGAATGCCTTGTTCAACAAGATTGAAACTCTAAAGCAGCAAACGGAATTTCAGTTGCATGTTTCCTTCATTGAGGTATATTAGTTATACCGTTATACCGTGTGTCAGCAGTCATAAGCACACTTCTTTGCTACAGTTTATTTTGAATCTATAACTGTTACATCATGGATGTTCATTCAAAAGGAATTTTATCTCAAAACTATGTGAAAATTGGCTATATGAGAGCGTGACATTGCTTTTCATACAAAAAAGAAATTTTGTCATGAACGATTATTCTTTTCAAGGACTTAATTGTTTTAACGAAAAAGATAACGACTCACACACACACATAGCATGCGGAAAAGGTAAGAGTAATTGAGAGAAACAAATTGAATCTGCAATTTTGTATCTATTCAACGAGTTATTTATTTTGCAAACATAACATATAGTTATAGTGATGAACACTTAATGCATTTTTGTATAAACTGACTAAACAAAATGTTAATTAACAAACAACTACATTACATTTGAATTAACTAACTAACAAATTGTGCATTTATTTTTCAAGATTTTGAAGGAAGAGGTAAGGGACTTGTTGGATATGGTATCTATGGGAAAATCAGATAACTCTAACTCTAATGGCCATTCTGGAAAAGTAACTATTCCTGGGAAACCACCGATACAAATTCGCGAATCATCAAGTGGAGTAATAACACTGGCAGGGTCAACTGAAGTTTCTGTAAGTACATTACAGGAGATGGCTTCTTACTTGGAACAAGGTTCATTAAATAGAGCAACAGGAAGTACAAACATGAACAACCAATCCAGGTACGTAATAGGTTCTTACTCTTACCATGTATATATACGGCGAATGAAAAATAATTCTTTATATTGAAAAGTTAGATGATGTTTTCTAAATGGAAGTACTTCAATTCGAGGTAAAAATAACATGATCCAACATCATTAAAGTGAGTAGAATTTTCTTTCCTTATTTTGTCTTTATGGATTGTCAATAATTTGGTTGAACTTCTTTCTATGCACTGATTTTTCTTGAAAAGGTCAATTTTAGATCTTATTGTAATTTCCATTTGATTCTAAACTCACAACAAATTTGGGTGATGGAGAAGCGTTATTTGTATGGATTCTGCTAGATTTCATATTTATAACCAATAATCAGTGGTTTCACTTTTGCTTGGGTTAGTCGGTCACATGCCATCTTCACAATCACGTTAGAACAGATGCGCAAACTCCATTCATTTTCTTCCAGCAATGACACTTCGGATGAGGATATGGGAGAAGAATACCTTTCAGCAAAGCTCCATTTGGTAGATCTAGCTGGATCAGAGCGAGCTAAAAGAACTGGGTCTGATGGTCTTCGTTTAAAAGAAGGTTTCCAAGACTGATTAACCAGAATACATTTGTTTCAAAATATTTTTCGGCCTCAGTTCTATATATGATAATGGCGATGACAAATATTTCAGTGATATTATGCTTTTTTCTTGTCAAAAGGTATACACATCAATAGAGGTCTTCTTGCACTTGGTAATGTCATAAGTGCACTGGGGGATGAGAAAAAGCGAAAGGAGGGAGTACATGTCCCCTATCGCGATAGCAAACTCACTCGACTTTTACAGGTTAGAGTTAACATTTTGGTTATATCAAATGGAGTGGTCTATTGTGAGTAAGATCGAGGGGCTTGATGTCCTAAACAAATCACAACATTAAACATCGCGTGATTTTTATTTTACTTCTATTCTTAGTTTCTGGGTATCAGTCTCTGAAAATCTCTTGATCAAGAGTTACTTGTCATTGTTGCAGGATTCACTTGGAGGAAACAGCAAAACTGTCATGATAGGTAAATACTACTATTGAAAGTTGAATCCTAGCTAAAAACAGTTAAGCATTTTCATAATAGGGTTTCTTCCTAATGTTTTCCACAAAATAATTTAGTGTTTTCATCTTCTTATATTTTATGAAAACTTCGCCTTTTGACAATCTGTATGCTATATTTTTGGACGTAATAAGAACACAGTTAAGAAGAAGTAAAATTGCTCATGTAGAAAAATACACTAAATAAGCACATTTTTTTGTTTCCATACATGTTGGTGGAGCAATAATTTGACAAAACATTAGATAGGCCCACTAAAACAAGATGAAATTGGGCCAAATATTCTTCAAGCAATTTAACAGAAAAGGTTCTAATGTCAGACATTTCTGTCAACTTTGTTGCTGATCAGGGTAAAACATTTGTTGGCTTTGGATTCTATCCGATGAAACATAGTTATAAATAGTGCACTACGATTCAAATATAGTAATTGAATTATTTCCAGATATAGATATATTTACATACTGTTTCCTCAATCAAAATAAAATTTGTTCATGCTTTTCAATCACCAACTGGTTCCCTTTTTCAGCTTGCATTAGCCCCGCTGACATCAATACTGAGGAAACTCTTAATACCCTTAAGTATGCAAACCGAGCACGTAACATTCAAAATAAGCCTGTTGTAAGTTTCCATGATTCTTTGTAACTTCAAGTTCTTGTCCCATTCTTTACCTTAGGAAGTTGGGGAGATTCATTTTGGTCAAATTCCACATGTTACAATCTTTATTGTTAATTAATTTTACAGGCTAATCGAGATTTGATATCCAATGAGATGCAGCAAATGCGCCAGCAGTTAAAGTACTTACAGGCTGAGCTCTGTTCTCGAGGAGGAGGTTCAGTTGACGAAGTGCTGGTACTTATTGCGTTCCTAACTGAGATTATCATGAGATGAAATTAGTTTAATATATAGCATGATGCTCTTCTTGTATAGGTTCTTAAAGAAAAGATTGCTTGGCTTGAGGAAACTAATGAGGAACTCTGTCGAGAACTTCATAAATATCGCAGTAGATCTTCTTTAGCAGAAAGATGTGATATTCACGAAACAGTATGTGAATAGGAAAATCATTGGCATAATCGATGCATTTAAAGCACATTAATGGTTATATATAGTTATGGACATGTTAATACTGCTTCCTCAGAAACCTTTATGTCATTTTTTCTTTTCCTAGGATGGACATATTTATCTCATGAAAAATAACAGGCTTGAGAGGAGCTTTACAAGCTCAGAGTTATCCGACCATCTACTCGCAGGAAGCATGTCAGGTAGACATTTAATGGCCATGTTTTTTAATCTGTAAGATCCTAGTTGAGTTTATAATTTAAGTATTTTGATACATTGGAATTTAGAACCTATGGATTTTACAACTACATTTATGGAAGGTGTGAATTCATCTTAGACGGGCATTATAGTCTAAAGATTAACTGGATAAGCAGCGGTTTGATGTTTGGTTGTTATACTATGCGTTTGACAAATTGAATAGTTTCCCATTCTGTTGGGATGGGCTTTCTGCGAGAAGCGATCATAATTATGAGACGGTTCAATCTTAAACATTGAGGCAATCTCTCTTTTACCTTCTTTTTGTAGGCGAGGATTCAAAGGAAGCTGATGAAGTAGAAAAAGAATTGGAGCATACATTACTGCTAAATACCATGGATAAGGAGATGCACGAGTTAAATAAGCAATTGGAGCAGAAAGAGGTTTCATTTCATGATTTGTTTTAAATTCATATATCCTAGTGATCTAATGTATATATATTTGTAAATTCAGTGTTGAATTTAAGGTGTTTCTTATATTGGTGAAAATTAGTCTATTTTTTATTTATTAAAGGTTAGTGATTAAATTTTAACTTTATCAGTGGATATGAACTTGTGCTCGCTTTTCCTTGCAGACGGAGATGAAGCTCGTGGGAGTTGATACTGAAGCACTCAGGCAGCACTTTGGAAAGAAAATGATGGAACTCGAGGAAGAGAAAAGAAAAGTGCAGGTAAAACTGGACATATTTTAATTTTAAATAGCTATCAAGCGTTGCACAAAATGTGTCTATTCTTACGTATTGACATATTTGGGACTGATAACGACAGCAAGAAAGGGATCAGTTATTGCATGAAGTAGAGAATCTTGCAGTTAATTCAAATGGACTGGCACATAAAACACATGATGTTCGTGGCCAAAAATTGAAAGCATTGGAAGCACAGGTGAACTTTGGCTTACATTGATGTCATTCTCAAGTCTCTCAGTTAGCATTCTCTACCATGTTTTTCCTTTCATTTTATATTTTAATTTTTAAATATTGAAACTCAGATTTTAGAGCTCAAGAAGAAACAAGAAAACCAGGTGCAGCTACTAAAGCAAAAGGAAAAGAGTGAAGAAGCTGCCAAAAGACTGCAAGCCGAGATACAGTATATCAAGGCTCAAAAGGTGTGCTAATTATTATTATTATTATTATTTTTATTTTTTTTAATATTCATATCTGACATTTGTGCTCATATATATTGCAGGTTCAGTTACAGCATAAAATAAAACAAGAGGCAGAACAATTTCGACAATGGAAAGCTTCCCGTGAAAAGGAGCTACTCCAGGTGGTTTACTTGCTTTTTTAAAGATATCATAATAACTGTGTTTTCTAGTTTAAAAAATGTAGAGGAATTGTAAATTTCCTAACTGTTATATTGAAATGCTTTATCAAAGAAACTCTCATTTTATTTTTGTGATTTCTACTTGGTTGACACTGTTATTTTATTTTAATTTTTTTCGTGTGGCTATTGCTTTGTAGAAAACTTTGTAGATTTGCAGTTGTGTTGTGCAGCAAATTAATTATGATGCGGTTATATTTAAAACTTGGGTTTATTTGTGTGCTTTTTATCATACAACTCTTATTAAATCTGGTTGGTTATAATTTTAAACAGTTAAAAAAGGAGGGAAGAAGGAATGAGTATGAAAGGCATAAACTGGAGGCTCTAAATCAACGCCAGAAAATGGTGAGTTAATAATTTAAAGTTTGATGTTTTCTGTGCTCATTTTGTTGTGAGGATATTTCTACCTTTATTATTGTTTTTTACCTGGCATTTTCACATTAACTGGATCTAAATTAGGCGAGAAATAACCGTGTGATTGTTATATTCGAATGATGTAGATAGATAGTAGAAACCATACACATAGAACAAGGATTCTCATTTTAGCATCCCGCAATTAAGGATTTTACAACAGCTGATGTCAGTCAATTTTTATTTGCAGGTTCTTCATAGAAAGACAGAGGAAGCAACAATGGCTACCAAAAGGCTAAAGGGATTGTTGGAAGCTCGCAAAGCTTCTCCGCGTGACCATTCTGGTAGAACTTCAATTGGTAGTGTTTCCGTTTACTACATACTTGAGTTTACTAACTATTGTCTGTCCCTTTCAGTTTATTCAAATGGACATCTACAGCCTGGGCAGGTAATGAGCTATACTTAACTTGTGTATTATACAATTTGACAAATTAAGAGGCGACAAAAATGTTCTAACAAAACAATTTAGCTTGGTATGTTTAGCACTATATAAAACAACTTTAACCTAACTTTATGTCCAGATTAATGAAAAATCCATCCAGAGGTGGCTTGACCAGGAGCTGGAGGTAATGGTACGTGTGCATGAAGTCCGTGCTGAATTCGATGAACAAAACCAAGTGTATGTTATCACAATTTTTTTCCTCTGAGTAATCAAATTCCAAACCGTATTTTATTTTACCATTCATGATTTGAATATTATATTTAGTCATGCTGCACTGGAAGGAGAATTGGCTTTCCTGAAACAAGTGGATCAGTTTTCAGATAGGCAGAGTATCCCCACAGGAAACAGTCGATATTCAAGGTAGAAAGTTTTCATGAATTTTCGGATGCAGGATGTCTTTCTATTTCTATTTCGCTGTAAATCATTATTTATTTAACTTCAATTTATACCTTGTTTCCCATTTGTTTCTATTTTGGTGTAAATCATTATTTATTTAACTTCAATTTATACCTTGTTTCCCATTTGTTAGACTGTTATCCATGTCACCAGATGCAAAAGCTGCGAGAATAACTTCTCTAGAGAACATGCTGAGCACGTCTTCAGCGGCTTTGAAAGCCATGACTTCACAACTCACCGAGGCAGAAGAAAGGGAACGTGCATTAAATAACCGTGGACGTTGGAATCAGTTACGCTCAATGGGAGAGGCAAAAAATGTGCTTCCGTATTTGTTCAATGCTACTGCAGAAGCAAGGTGCTACCTGTCTTCCAAGAATCTGATTAAGCTTTTCTGTACTAATTTATATAATTAACTATAGAATAGATATAGTTTTCAATTAAAAGATATAAACTTTTCAAAGTAGTTCATGGAAAAAGTAACTGTCTATCTGGAGGCTTTTTGTTTTCTATTCTAAGCAATGGGAGTCTGCTTCATCTAATAACAGGTGTCAATTGTGGGAAAAGAATATGGAACTGAAGGACTTAAAAGAGCAACTTAATGAGCTTTTAACACTACTACAACAAAGTGAAGCACAGAGAAAGGAACTTGAAAAAGAGAAAGCGATTGGTGAACAAGCAGTTGCCATCACATTGCATACACCACCGTCGGTGAGATTTTACTCATTTTTATCAGCAATTAGTTTGAGCTTGTGTAGCAAAATGTTTCAGCTCCTAAATTTGCATAGCTAAAAATTTAATCTCTCACGCATTCGTTCATTTATATAGTAGCATGTACTTTATTCAAACTTACAGGAAAGCTCACGGTCCTTGAAACACCTTGCGGATGAAATGAGTGGTCCGTTGTCCCCAATGTCGCTTCCAGCGCCAAAACAACTCAAATTCACCCCTGGAGTTGTTAACGGGTCAGTGAGGGAGTCAGTAACATTTATAGATGACGGACGGAAGGTATATCCCTGCTTCATTCTGTTTCTTTGATGCTCATTTTTTGTTTTTCAAGTAAGTAGTAAAGATTTTATTTTCAGATGATACCTATTGGAGAGTTGTCAATGAAGAGACTAGCAGCTATAGGACAAGCCGGAAAACTTTGGAGGTGGAAGAGAAGTCATCATCAATGGCTGCTACAGTTTAAATGGAAGTGGCAGAAGCCCTGGAAACTCTCAGAATTGATCAAACACAGTGATGAAACAATCATGAAATCAAGGCCTCGAGCACAAGCTTTGATTAATGTGGCGTGATGTTGAGCTCATATAAAGCGGCATTAATATCTCTTTGAATGCTAACCTCATTTTTTCATCATGGTTTGACAAGAGTACGGATAGTTACAGGTAATCGCTACCAAGACAGCCCAGCTCAACAAAATGTGTTTCTATAGGTTGCAGAAGGCTAATCAAAACGCCGGTTGTACATTTTTTGTAAAACTATTCTTATAATCTATAGTATCCATGCAGGCATGATGTAAATTGCTTGAGTTTCCTGTAACTTGTCAGGGAAATTTTGCTGAGATACAATTTGGCTGCTGGAGAAAGCTGTCTTGGCTCTCTATAGGTTGTACACACGATAGGCGTATCCTGACATTGACAATATCAGAGGAAAGAATTGGTTTTAGAAGGTTGAAAGAGAAAATGTTGCACTCTTGCATATATTAGAATACATATCGATGTGCCGAAGCTGTTCAATGTTAGTTATGTAGTTTTCTTTTAAACAAATTTTGTAAACTGTGATCAGCATAGCGGGAGAGTCTGTTGTTGAGTTGTTGTACAGATGAAGTATTTCCGAAAATAACTGTACATTATGATACTAGCTGATTTTCTTCATAATCAACGTTTCTATTGAATGTGCATTCAGATTCCGAACTCTAACTCGAAACGATTGAGTGGTTGAACTAAATCATTTTAATGAGACCATCGCATGCAAACTTAGATATTCATCCTGCTTGGTTGAGTTGGACAGAGATAAATGACTTCTAAGGATGATGAGCGGACTACTAAAATGTGTGAAACGATGAATAAGTGGTATCTGCTAACACTCTAGAGTTTAAGTTGGGAATGAATAGAAAAAGTGAGAGTGGCTTTCAATGTGTGTTTTAAGACTAAAGTAGGTCCTATTACTCTAGTGTTATCCCCGGAAGATTCTTCTCAATTTGAGTGGGGTGGTTATCATGGTTTTGCCATGCCTCAACTATGATGGTTACCTGCCAACTCAAACATCGTTTGTCTGAAGTCGAATATAATTTTACCTCTCATTCTCATCTGTTTGTTCCTTGTTACATAACGTTGACATTTTTGTTTTTGAAGGGTTTGATTGCTATGAGTGAGTTAGAGAAGAGAGATTAAGCTAAGAGAGAAGTGTGAGAGAAGTTGAATATGTGGAGTCCGCATTTCATTTCTTTTCTAACATGGAAAGAAAGAGAGATTGAACCTTTTCTTTTTTAATTTGTCCATATTGCCTTTCTTACTCTATTTTATGCTCAATTTTCTCTTTACATGATAGCAATAATATATTTATAACATACATGATTTTAAATGATTTTAAATTTATTTATGGTTATAAAACACGGTTTTATCTTAAACTATATATGCATTAGATTTACGAAATATTCGACAAAACACTACTAAATATTACAGAACATTAGTATAAGACAATTTTTTGTATTGTCTTCCGTTGATGCGTTAGACAACTTTTTATTTTATTTGATATATTTATGCATCAAATAATATAATTTTTACTATAATATTTTTATTGATATATAAAATATTGATATTTATAATCAAAATATTAAATAATGAGAAGGAAAAGAAAAATGATGAAGAGAGAAAAAAATTACTCTATTTTATTTGATATGTCTATGCATCTTACAAAAATAATATAATTTTATTATAATATTATTTATTAATAAATAAAATATTAATATTATATTTATAAATTAAAATATTAAATAGAGAGATTAAAATTTGTATTTTGATATTTTTTGATAATTTGTGTTTGAGACAAAAAAAAAGTTGTTTCATAGTTTAGTAAGAGATTAGAATTCATGTTTTTGTCATGTCCTTTATTATATATTTTATTCTCTCATATGATAAGTTTCGACGTCAAACAAAGTTAAAAAAAATTGTCATGTATAGTCCTCATTTTTTAGCAAATCAAACACATTTTTATATTCTCCTGTATACCTATTTTCATTCCAACGTGTAAATTCCCATGCTATAGATTTGATTTAATTTAATATAAAATAAAATGAATATATAATATTCAGTTAAGTCAATTGTTGGTAGTTTGTGCAATATAAAATGTAGGGATGCTTGTTTGAATATCTTATTTATTTATGTTTAAAGGATGAATTTCAGCCGCGATAAAAAAAAAAAAAGTTAATATATACTATAAAAAGTAATTAACATGTTTAATAAAACAAATAATAAAAAGAATAATTATGTAATCATAAAAAGTTGAGTATAAATTAAAATTTTAATTGTATTTGATGAGTGTCTTTTTTTAATTGAAGGGTCTCTTTTCAAACTTATAACACTTCTTTCTTTTTAATTTCTTTTATCTTTTTTTATACTAAATAATATGTCAAATTTACTCTATTTCTCATTTATTTTTCTTTTCCCACACTTTTTTTTCTCTTTCTTTTTACTCTCTCTTTACTACCAAATACGTCTAAAGATTTTCTTAGATACTTCTGCAAAACTTTCGACACCACTAACCTTTTGTTTGTGTAAAGTTTCATTTCATCTACTCTGAACATTTTATCCATTTTGAGTAATGACTAAATATGCTATGTATTTGGCCTTGTTGCTGGATATTCAAAATGAAAATCTCATAGGCATTTTGGCTTCCTTTTACAAATACATGCCCCTTAAGACAAACTTCTTTGGTTATGGCGTCATCTCGGCTACGAAATCCATGAGGGTTTGAGTCTTCAGAACTTTGTGATTGAAATTCAGTTAAATTCAACAAACACCTCATCATTGTTCTTACAATGTTTTGTTTGAAAGAGAATTTGTCTGATTGATTGGTTGGTTCTCACTACAACGGTTAGTAAAGTTGAAACTTTATAGATAACTACGAGAACAAATGCATCTTTTTTCATTTATTTTCCTCTTAACTCTAGTCCTCGCTGAGCCTTAATGGTGTGGTATATTAACTTTTGTAATTTTATGATAAGAACCACGTCATGAGAGAGCTTCACCTTGAGATAGTTTTGGTAATATTAGGGGTTAGAAGAGTGTGACTCTATGTATTTAACAAGTATAATAAATTTTGATGACGACAGATGAAAATTATCATAACCATCATCATATGAAAAAAAAAATGTTGAAGTAAATAAAAAAGCAATAAAGTTTTGATGTTTGATGCAAGATTCTCAAAGGTGCTTTGGGTCGGCCAAAGGTCCAACATGAGTGAGATCTAAATATCCAGCTCAACAATATGAAACACAATCATAATTATTCAACCTCTATAATCAACATAAGTGAGACTTAAGGTACACTTTTCTGATCTTGTAATTTCACTTCACTCATCTTGGACTCTGTAACTGAATTGGAATAACGTTTGTAAACATAAGAGGAAATAAATGAAGCATCATACCTAGCTATAAGTATATGACACTACAGTTCCGAAGCACCTGTAAAAAACCTCCACCTCCACTTGTCCAAAAGGGTTAAAGTTATTAGAAGTAATTCATATTTATTAGTTGTACTATTTTCTTAGCCCCTAAGTTTGTTAGAGGGTATTTTAGTATTTTTATCTTATTCTAGTAACCCTAGTATTAGCTTATAAATAGGGTAACAATCATTGCAATTTTGTAGTAGTGTGTAGCTGTCATTCTCTTAATAGAATATTTCTCTATTCATCATTTATTCTACCTTTGCACCAACAATTGGTATCTAGAGCTCCGGTTCAGATTCATTGGGAAACACAGGAAACACGAGTGAACGTGAGGTCTTGTGTGTTTGATTTTGATTCTTAGATTCGTGTTGAATCTTGAACAAAATCTGATCAGAATTTTAATTCTGTGGGTTGGGAAACACTGTGTGAGAAATCTGAGTGTACTGTGCAAGGTAGAAGATGAACGGAAACGGCAGCATGAACACCAAACTTCCAGTATTTGACGGTAAAAACTGGAATCGTTGGATGATCCAAATGCGTGTACTATTTGGTGCTCAAGATGTTCTAGATCTTGTCACTGATGGTTATGTTCCAGTAGCAGCAAATGCAACAGATGAACAGAAAAACGCGCAGAAGGAAGTAAGGAAGAAGGATCAGAAAGCATTGTTCTTCATTCATCAATGTGTGGATGTAAATGTGTTTGAGAAGATTGCAGATTCAACAATAGCAAAGGCTGCGTGGGACACACTGGTGAGATGTTATGGTGGTGACGCATCAGTGAAGAAGGTGAAGCTTCAGTCCTTGAGAAAGCAATATGAGAATCTCAACATGAAGAATAATGAGAAAGTCTCTGAATACATTTCCAGAATGATTCTGATCACTAATGAGATGAAGGCGTGTGGAGAAACTCTTTCTGAAGAAGCAATCATTGAAAAAGTATTGAGATCCCTTACCCCTTAATTTGACTACATTGTGGTAGCAATAGAACATTCCAAAGATCTGAGCACCATGAGAATTGAAGAGCTGCAGAGCAGTCTAGAAGCGCAAGAGTTGCGTTTGATTGAGAGAACCTCTGAAAAGGAAGTAGAGCAGCAAGCTCTGAAAGCAACTTCTGATAGGAGGTATCAGAAGCAGTCAGAAGCCAGGAGAAGATCTGATGGTGGTCAAAAGTCAGAAAGCTCAACCTATGATAGACAAAAGAATGCTCAGAAGGGAAAAGAGAAGTATGACAAGAAGAAGATCCAATGTTACTGTTGTAAGAAGTTTGGTCACTTTGCTAGAGATTGTTGGTCAAACAAGAAGAGAAAATAAGAAGAAGCAAATATAGCCAGAAGTTCTGATGATGAATCTGTGCTATTAATGGCCTCTGAATATGATAATATGGATCTGATAGACTGGTGGTATATGGACACTGGCTGTTCAAATCATCTTACTGGAAACAAGAAATGGCTGGTTGACTTTGACTCTGAAAAAAGAACAAAGATCAGATGTGCTGATGACAAATATCTTAATGCAGAAGGTATGGGAAATGTCAGAGTGATTCTGAACAATGGGAAAACAGCATTGATTCAGAACGTGTAGTATGTACCTGGCATCAGAAGCAATCTGATGAGTGTGGGACAATTAA